CCGTAGGCGGGGGCTGGAGCAGGCTGGCGGGCTCAGGTCCGGGGCGCGACAGGCGACCACCGGCGGCCCCCTTCGCCGCTTTTCACTCCGCATGTTCCGGGTACACCGGCCGCCCTCCCGCAAACGAACGACCCGGAGAGGTGGCATCAGGGCTCTCCCGACCGAAGCTTCCCGGGAAACCAGCCGGGGGCCAGAGCGGCCTCCCCGCGCCCCGGGGTCGCGCGCCCCAGCCCCGACTTCGCGGCGGGATTGGGGGGCCCGGCCTGGGGCTCGCCCGCAGCCCCTTCCCCCACGCCGCGGCCTCTCCACCCACCGATCGCAGCAGGGCCGCGGGCCGACAGCCGGCGCAGGGTCTCCGCGCGCCTCCGCCTGCGAGCATCGCCGACGCGCGCGCAGCCGGGAGCCGCGGCCAGGCGCCCACCCAGGGGCTGGCTCTGCGCCCGCCGCAAGGGTCGCCTCGGGGCCCTCCCCGCGAGCCAGGCTCGGAGACCGGCCGCCCGACTCCGGGGAGGGCCGAGAGGGCGAGCTCCCCGAGCTGCGCGGGCGGGGAGGCGCGGCGCCTCCCCGACCCCGGGCGACACCGCCCCACGGGGGGCCTTAAGGGCGCGCGGCGTTTAAGGCGGGCGGCGGGAGGCGGGCCGGAGAGAGCGGACTCCGGGGAAACAGACGCGGCCGAGCGCTGCTGGCTGGGGGTCGGATGGGCGAGCTGCGACGCCCCGAGGGCTCCGCGCGCGGCGGGGGTAGAGGAGGGGTCGCATCGCATGCGCCGGGAAGCCCGGAGTAGACCGTTCCGTCCCGTGTGGGGCGGAGGCCGGGCGGGCAGCGCCTCACCGTGGGGCGACCATCGTCCCTCCGCCCCTCTCAACGCGACCGCCGGTCCGGGGGGGCGGGCCGAGCCGCGGGCGGAAGTGGTCGCCGCCGGCCGGAAGTGACGCACCGGAAGTGACGCGCCGAGCGACGCCCGCGACGCCTGCGGCCCAGCTCGTTCGAGTCGTGGGCACTAGAGCTTCCCTGCGGCCGCGTCGGAGCTGCGCCTGCTGCCGGCCACGGTGCACCCGGGCCGTCCCCGCGCGGCCCAGGGCGGGGGGGGGGGGGTGTGTGCCGGGCGACAGCGACCCCCGCCCACTGCCCCGGCCGTCCCGGGTCGGGGGTGTGTTCCGGCGGGTCCCGCTCGTGTGAGGCGGCTCCGGCCTCTCATTGCCGCGGGGCCGCCGCGCGGTTTTGATCTCAAGGGACGGTAGAGGGAGAGACGGAGGGAGCGCCCTGCACACCCTGGTCCCGAGGCCGCGCGGAGACGCAGAGCCGCGCCTGCAGCCCCGCACCTGCGCGGTCTGTCCTCCCGCCGCGCCCCTGCCCGCGGCCAATGACCGCTCCTTCAAGACCAGGGTCGTTCAGTTCTCACTTGCTTTTCTCTGCAGCGATTTCCAATGAGCACATTTTTCCTTCAGACCAGTTAGCGTGAGGTGCCCGCAGGCCGCGCTTCTCCGGGATGGTCCACAGGGCCGCCAAAGGGAGCCCCCGGGGCTGGTCCCCAGGTGAAAAACAGGAAGAAAGCAGCAAAAGTGGGAGTGTATGGTGCCGTTTTCATCCTTCAAGTATTTAGGACGACTTCATCCGAACGAAGTTCGCAGGGTAGATTTTTCCTTCTTGCGCAAAACCCTGAGATGCTTGATGACTTCCCAGTGGTCCTGGGTTTTGGTGGTCTGTGAGTAGTTTATAGTCAAATAATTTCAAGATTAAATTTATAAAAACTCAACATTTTTGTAGCAAAATCTTTCTTACGTGTCATCCGGGGAAACAGTTTTCAAGTGCTATCGTGTGAGCCTGGGGACTTTCCCTCCTGCCCTCGGAGCTTCCAGTTGGCCTCCAAGCCGCTGCCTCCAGCCACTGCCTGCAGAGCGCTTTGCTCCGCAGACACATTCCAGAGCTGGCGTCCTGTCCCCTCTCTCTGCCGGCCAACAGTTCTTGTCTCTAAATACTCAAAGGAAACAGTTGCCCGCTAAGGTGGCCTCAGAGATTTCACCATGGGGTCATGTTTGAGTTGTTCGTGATGGGTGCCACACGGGTGTTTTTATCTGAACTTGCTGGAGTTCCAACTTCTTCCTGTGACTGGATTCCAGGAAGCAGAATTTTGGGCGAAAGCATATAGACTGGCCAGGATTCTCCATACTCTACTGGGTTTCAAGTGGGGGGGTCGTTTAAATAATGCCTCCGCTCATCTGCACACCCAAGGCTGCAGCGTAGATGCCAGTGTAGACACGAATCGGTTAGGGTGCAGTCCCTGTGAAGGAGGAGACCTGACCAACAAAGACTCTGAGGCTGAGACTCCCCTGAAACCTGCCTGTGAAGCTCTAGCTGGGGTGTCAGGCCCTCTGCCCGAGCCCTGCCTCCCTCCAAAACACAGGGGACTTCTGACCTCTGGACCCCCTTCTGACAACGATCTCTTCCTTTAGGGTTTGGATGACGTTTAAAGGGTGATCTTCTGGAAAGCAGGAAGGAAAGTGTCCGTGGCAAGTTCATGGGTCCCTCCCAGATGGCTGAGCTGCTGTGTGTGTAGCTCCTGGCTTCCTGGCCCTCACCCCTCTCATCAGGCTTCATCTGTGTGTGGGTCCTAGTCTGATGGCCCCACCCAGGTGGGATGATGGGGTCTACAGGCCCAGAGGAGCCCCATTCCCAGGCAACAGTGAGGACAGCAGAGAAGTCTGGATGGGGGCCCAGGAGCCCCCAAAGCCCAGAGAATGGGGCCTGGATCAAGTTCTGTTGGGTGGGAAGAAGGAGGAGGCCCCCTTTTCTGTGCCACCAGGCCCACTGACAAAGTTGTCAGGAAGCACTGACAAGCAGCTGGTTTGGAAAAACAGCTCCTGTCCCTAAACCAGAGACGAGCCCTTCCTGGGAACCCTTTGGGTACCCCTACCCCACACCCTACAGTGTGACCCCCTTGGTCTAACCCTGGCAGAGGCACCTGCAGCCTCTGTCCCTGGGATTCGGCCTCTGGGCACCATGGGGCTAAAAGTCATGGAAGCAAAACCACAGGATTAGGGAGCAGCCCCTTTGCTATCTCAGGCCAGTGCCTGGGGAGCAGCGCTGGTGAGCAAGGAGCCACGCCTGGCCTCACTCTGCTCCCAGGAAGCCATGGGCTGAGGTCAACTCCTGCCTTTGTCCTCTGTGCTGCTGGGGAGGAGGCCAGCCTTGACTGGAGGCCTCCGTGGGAGGCACAGCATGGGAGGGCCACAGCTGATGCAGGCCACCTGCGGGAGGGGCACTGGCCAGCAGGTCTGCAGGTGGCTTGGGACATACCCTGCCATCCCTCTCTTTGCTCTGCCCCACCCCAACCTCAGTCCCACTTCACCCCTTCCCACCAAATCCTCAGTGTTTCCATGATTCTGAAAACCACCCAACCTCTGGCCTGGATCTTTCTGAAGGAGAATGTGCCAGAAGTGGCTGATCTCCACGTGGTCACTGTGCAGTTCCCGCCTTCTCCCACGTCCCTCTCACCACCACTGCCACCCCCCCCCGCCCCGGTGCTCTCTGTGCTCCTCCAACTGATCCTTCACTCTGGGTCCCCCTCACCCCCAGGCAGACTAGCTGGTTCCTCGTATCTAGTGGCTTCCAGGTTAGGTAACATGGGGCAGGAGGGGAGCTACTGCTTTTTGGGACAGCATTGCTGTGACACGGCCGGTGGCCTGGCCTGAGATGGAAGGGAGGCCAGCCAGGTGGGGAACTCAGCAGAGGCCTGGGTTGGGGTCTGGCCCTGTGCTGTTCCAACTTAGCCAGCAAAGGCCAGAAAGGGTTCCAAGGCTAACACCCTGAAGCCTGGAAGCTTGGGGCGGCCTGAGACCCTGTGGCCTCTGTGCCCCACCCTCCTCCTTTCCCCAAGGCAGGAAAAGTCCAAGGCTTACAGGTCAACAGCCATTATTGAGACAAGTGGCCTTGTGGTTAAAGGCAGCACCCAACACTGAGCCAGCCCCTCTAGCCAGCTGATTCTGGCCCTTGCCCTCAAAGTGCGCCTTCTGCCACCAGAGGGGACAAAGCCCAGCCTGGGATCCGCGCACACACCGCCAGCTCGAATCCTGGGAACCTCTGGATGCCAGGGTTGAGTTCGGGTGCCTGCCCCACCCTGCTGCCTGTGGCACCTGTGCGAACTGACCGCAGGCGCATTTCCCAGTGGCCAGCCCACAGACTGCAGAGGCCTCCTGGCCACTGGGACACCTGAGCAGTAAGGTGACTTGCTCCCATACGTGCACCAGGAGAGCAGGGGGTCCTGATCAGGGCAGGCAAAGGCCACATACAGCCCCGGGAGGCTGATGGTCTAGGACTGGCCTGGGAGGAGGGACAGGGAGGCTGGGGGAGAGCTCAGCTGCTTCTCCCCTTCCCCACAGGCCCCTGCAGATGGCTGGAGGCACCCAGTGTCCCAGCACACAGGGCTGTCCGTGTCCTCCTGCACGTCTGCAGTGCTCAGCTGGGCTCCTGGCAAAGCCTTCCCCCACATTGACCGACACCTAGTCAAGACCATGTGGAATGGGAGGAGAGAGATGAGTGTGTGCCAGAGCCTGGCCCATGCTCCCTGACCCCAACAGGCCTGGATGGAGCTGTGGGGAGGACTTCGAAGCCTATGGGGGCTGCAGGTCTCCCAGAGCTCCTCTGAGGGTCCCCTTGGGCCAGTCCTCTGATTTACCTGGGAGCATGTCCTTTCTGTAGGCTCAAGCCTGCTCCCTCACCCAAGCCTCTGCTCTACCCTTCAGGACAGGTGGTGACACCCAGTTCTACACCCCTTCTGTGGAGAACAGGTGCTGAGCCCCAGGCCTACCGGTGCTAATGGCGAGGCTGACAGGGGCACCTGGGATGGGATTCAACGTGGCGGTTGCCTGGGCAAGACCCCCTCTGCCTCACACATCCCAACGGCACACTTGGTGTCCACAGACTCTAGAAGCCTGGCCTGCCTCTCTAAGTATCTCTGTGTTGGTTACAAAGAACCAAATAAAGTTGCCAGCCAATCCAAGTTTTTAAACAAGTCTGTTTATTGAAAGGATCTGAAAATAGTGTAATAAGGCTTTCAACGACATCTAACAAATTTTCGAGATATTAACAATATGAAACATTAAGAATTTATTTCAAAAAATCCAAAGTTTTCTAGATCATTCCAAATCATGCTGCTTTTGGACTTGGTTAATACTTGCCTTTTTTTTTTTTTTTTTTTTGTCTAAACCAGTGACCCAAATCCCAAATGCCACTGTCTTTTGGACCTAAAGCTGGGAGTTTTGGTTCGGGCCCCTCTCAGCCCAAGGGAGGCTGGGCAGCAAACCCCTAACCACGTCTCGCCCCTGCAGGATGGCCATGTGGGCCCCCTCCCTTTCCAACTCCAGGCCATCAGCCAAGAACCACCCTGAGGGCCAGAAGCCCCAAAGCATGGATGTGGGAGGCCACGCTCAGGCCGCAAAGCCTGCTCTATGGAGGCCCCTGGCTGAGGGTGGCTGCCCGCACGGGCCCCCAGCCTTTCTATCAGCCCAAGAATGAGGCACGTGACCCTCCACAAGACAAAGCACAGGACCGTCCCTGTCACCCCAGAAGCGGGTCCAAGAAAAAAGGGCAGTTTCTGTCCCTTCTATTCTTGCCAATTCAATAGATAAAAATTGCAGCTCCAAGAGATATCAGCTACTCAGAAACAGATACCCAATGTAGGACGTCTGTCAGGCAACAATAACCACGGGCCAAAGCCACATGCACTGAGCCACGGCTCCCACCAGACCGCACAGGTTCTGGGTCCCATGTGGCAAGCACACGTGCACACGCCCTACACAGCCTGTGGGCAGTGGAGCGACCGCTGGAATGATGGGAGCTTCCTCGCGAGCCCAAGACCCACGGGGAGAAGCAAGAGCAGAATCAACACAAAATGTCCCCAACCACCTCTTTCCTCACTAAGCAATGCGTCCCCATCTTCTAGCTGCAGTCCAAGTACCACGGCTTACTAACCGAGAAGCACCCTCTCACCCCGCGGGCCGTCACCCCCACGGTAAGCACACTGAACAGAGTGGTCCCAGCACACAGTGCCACACAGAACACGTGTAAACATTGGAGCAAGGCTCCATTTCGTAACAGTACAAATCCCGCTCCCTCTGTCATCTTCAAAGTGTGTACAATAAAATCTGTACATAAGCAGTTCAAAAAGCTTAAAATGATCTCTACAAAGTGTACACAGGACTTAAAATACCTTCCAGGGTGCAGAGGGGGCCGCCCCTGCTTGGTGAGGAATGTGCATGGGTCTGACCTCCCACCGGGCCACCGCTGGGCTCGCACACCACAGCAGTGGGGGAGGGGAGGGCCTGGAGACCAAGGCAGGAAGGTGCGCCCAGAGGAGGTGCAGGTGCGGGGCAGGAAGGAGGGGACCCTCCACGTATCAGCCAATCAAACACCAAACTGCTCTCTACAGAAGCGTCCCCTTCGAGTCCTTTTAGGGGAAAAGGTGCAGGATTTAAGGGGAAAATCGTGGTAGCTAAAGGAAGATTTTTGGCTACAAGACATTTATTTTCGACAAGTAAAGACAGATCGAGCCGTTCTGATCCCCTCTGAATTTCAACGGACTGACTGAAGCACGAGCTTCCTGACAAGGAATCATGGAAGAGCACATCCCCCTCTGGGGTCCCCGCCCTGGGACCAGGCTCTGAGGGACCGCATGGGGGCGCACCGCCCCGGTGTGGACTTCCGAGCCCTCACCAGCACTCACTTTTCTTGTTTAGAAATGCAAAAAGACGTCAGATTTAAAATATTAAAAATGGCTGATCTGGTCGACAAAAGGCAGATTCCTGGCTCTTCCCCCCAGCTACAAAAGAAAGTGCTGTGACTTCTGATGCCTGCTCGGGGCTCACAGCGCATGTGCTCAGGTCAGCCTGCTCCCAGAGGGCAAGTGGGAACGAGGCAGCGGAGCAGCTTCGGGTCTCTGGGGTCCCTAGTGTGGACAGCAGGAGCTCAGGCCTAGCCCTCCCCCTCTTCCTCCTCCCCCTCCCCCGCCCCCTCCTCCTCCTCCTCCTCCTCTGTGAAGTGTGCCTGCTTCTTCCGCACGTTCCAGTGGAGACACTGCGCCAGACTCTCGAACCAGTCGCTCACGGGGTCTCGGACACAGATGGAGGGGAGCGGGTAGCAAGAGGTAGTGATGCTGATGCTGAGGAGTGGGAGACATGGCGCGGCACAGATGAGCCACTCCCCAAGGCTGTGCCCACCCCGGCCCAGCTGGGGACCATCTCGGCTCTGCTCCTGCCACTGGCTGCACGGCTGGGGCCTGCCCCATCCTAAGGACAGGTGCAGCTGGCAGGGCACCAGGGCAGGCCGGAGTGAGGGGCTGTGGATCTGTCGCCCTCAAGGTCAGCACAGAACACGGGCCAACACGCTTCAACCTGTGTGGGAGACCAGCTGCCCGACAGGCCCTCGTCTCCCCCCACAGCTCTCAGGGCCAGGGCTCTGTCTGTGGGGCCTGCACAAGCCAACCTCAACAGGGTATGAAGGTGGCAGGTAGGGCCTGAGTCCACCCCTCATTCCTACTCCTCGCTCCGGCCCCACGGCTCACACACCTGTCCCCATGGCGGATCTCCTGTCTCTTTCGTCCGTCGAAGGACACCCATGCGGTGTTCCTTGCTTCTGGCGACAGCATGATCTGGAGGGGCAAGGGCAAGCCGGACAGGTGTGGGCTCGTGAGTGCAGCTGAGCACCTTGGGTCCCAGCCCTCGGTGGGCAGCACTGGGCAGGAGGACTCTTGAAGGTATCCCTACCACCCACTCTACACCAAGGGCAGTTCCAGGCCATGAAGGTCTCATACTTTTGTCTCGCTGACACCAAGCCCGGGAATAAGACAGGCAGCCATCAGGCCCAGTTGCCGACCACCCACCCAGGGCCAGGGACACCATCCAGGAGAGTCTGGCTCTAGTCCTCTCTCCCTGTGACCTGCAGATGTGCCCCTGCCTACCAGGGCTCACAGCCAGGGACACGCCAGCCCAGGGTGGACCAAAGTGGGGAGCGCAAGACAGGCAAAGAACAGAGACGGAGGAGCAGTGGCGGGCACCGGGTACGCCAGAACCACGTGCCGCTCACCTGCCCTCATCCAGTAGGGACCAGCCCCTCCCCCCAAGGGCCCACAGCCCTGCTGGAGGGGCTAGCCCAGCTCTCAGTGCTGCACCTGGCCAGACAGACAAGGTAGAGAGTGAAGCCCCTTCCGGCACCCAGCAAGGTGGGCCCACAACCCAGCGGGTGCTGGGGTCACAGCCGGGGGCAAAGGGGGTAGTCAGCGTGGCAGGCCCCAGGCAACAGCTTAAACCATATAGGGTAGAGGTGGACTCTGACCTTCAGCTCGACCCCCGCAGGGACCACGATAGGCCGGAATGACAGCGAGTGGGGGCAGATGGGTGTGATCATGATGGCTGGCACGTTGGGGTGGATCATGGAGGCCCCGGCGGCGGCCGCATACGCTGTGCTGCCCGTCGGGGTGGAGACGATCACCCCTGGTGGACAGGCCGCAGGGTCACTCTCTGTGGGCTCCTGTTCCTACCCCCCACCGCCGTGGGACCCCAGGTGGCTACCTACCGTCACCCTGCACCGTGGTGATGAGGTGCCCGTCCAGGTAGACATCCACGTTGGACAGGTATGAGGAGGGGCCTCTGTCAATCACCACCTCGTTCAGGACCTGGGGGGACAAAGTCACTGCACACAGGCAGGGGCCAGGCAGGGCTGTCCTAGGTGGTCGTCCCCATAGGCACCTGCACTGTTTCTGGGCTCTGTGGGAGGTCCTGAGGTCAGGGGAACCCACTGGGCCCAGGCCTGAGTCCCACCACCCCATGCCCCTTCCTGAGGCCGTAGCACAGGCAGGGCAGGGCCTGGACCCGGGGCAGGGCCCACACCCACAGACCTGGTACTGCATGACCTGCTTCCCGACCTCCGCGTCCAGGTCCGCGGGCAGCACGCCGTTCTCGCTGACCCCGTTGGGCACCGCCGTCTTCTTCCCTCTGAGTTCCTTCACGACCCTGACCTTCAGCCGGCTCCGAAGAACTACAGCCGCATTCCCTGGGGGCCACAGGGTCACAGCGGGGAGGTTGGTGGGGGATGGGCAGTGGCAACCTGCAGGAGGCAAAGACACCCCTGCCCGACCAGAGACAACCCTTCTTCGCCCAAACTGAGCCAAACCCGAGCCTTCTGTAAAGGCCAATCCACGGCTACCGACCAGCACACACAGCTGCTTCCGCCAGGGACCCCTCCAACTTCTCAGTGTGGGGAAACCAGTATCGGAAGCGTTCGAAAATCTTAAATCTCTGAATCTTCAAACACTTAAATATTGCTCTACACATCATTAAAAAATCCAAAGACCAAGTGAGGAGACAATCCCATGCTCAGAACTCCTTGTGAGTTCCAGAACATTCCGACTTACCCTGTATCACCTGAGTAACTTGGGACTGAAAGTTCTCAAAGTTGAAGGGGGTCAGGAAGCCCAGGGAGCCCAGGTGGAACGCCATGACTGGAGGCACGCTGCCCTGTGAGCCAATGAGGCAAGCCGGTCAGCCAGCCCATCCGCTCAAGAGCCAGCCCACTTGTCCCCCGCACCGAGGGAGCACCCCGCCCGACTGTTCCCGGGAATGGACAGGCACATGAGTGCACGGCCGGTGGCGGGGTGTGGGAGGCGGCCGGCAGGCTGATTCCAAGCGACCGCACAGGAAGAGGTCAGCTAGCAGACAGGGAGGCCGGGAGGAGCAGACGCAAAGCTGATGCGGAGCTGATGAGAAGCCAACGCAACGGGACCGACCAGCCTGCTGGCCGTGGAGACAGAGAGAGCTGGTCAGGCAAGGACACAAGCCACCACGCCAGAGCCTCCCCTGCAGAGTGAAGGCAGACTTTGGGCAACCCCAGTGTGCTTCCAGGCAGGCTCCCATCCTCTGGAGCCTCCACAGGCCTCCCGGGTACCCTGGAGGGTCAGCCTGGGGCCACCGCCTTCATCCTGCTGTGGGCCCCATCCCCTAGGCCACGAGGTGCCCGCCTCTCCTTGTGGGTGCCACGTGTCTGTGGATCGGCAGCAGCCCCCCCAGGCCTGTTTCTCCACCACTGCCCCCTTCTTCCCGGCCGGTCCTGCTGCCCAGCCCAGGCTGCACTGTCAGCAGCGCTCCCGGTGCGCACGGAGACCCAGACGGGGCAGATGAGACACTGGCATTATTTGCAGATCAGCCAAATAAGCAAACTAAAAGCTCTGCATCAGAGTAAGAACGTAGAACTCGGCAGCCCCGAGGCATCAAGTCACGAGGTACAAGAAGGCGTGGAAAGCCTCCCCGGGAAACCGCCTCCTCATGGGCGCTGAGGCCGGAACCCCGTGCACCTCACCTGGAACAGCGAGGACGCGTACAGCAGGGTCCCATCCCCTCCCAGGCATATGATGAAATCGATCTGATTGGAAATGTCATCATAATCTAGAAAACACACAAACACAACGAACGGTGTCTCGGCAACCCTTGATGCCACAGGGCACCGCGCCCGCGATGAGGCAGGAGCGCTAGAAGCTTCTGCCAGGCCTGGGGCAGGGGGGCGAACACCTTCGGAAGTGACAGATCCGAAGGCAAACTCACCTTCTCTGAAGGTGCAGAACTTCTTCTTGACTGGTCCGAAGTTGTCATCGCTCACTATGGCAGGGTCTTCCAGAACTTTCTTCTCCACATACACAATCATGTTGTTCTCCTGAAAGGGAGACAACAAGCACGTCAGCCCCACCACCAAGACCCGGTTCAGATCAGGCTGGTCTTCCGGGAAGCCTCCTCCTGAGCCTCAGGACTTTACAATGAGGAGGAAATGTATTCCTCGGGCCCGGAGGGCAAACTGCTTTCAAGCTGCTCATGCGGATTTCTGTCCTTCTGGAGGCCCTGTGACCCTCCGTTACAGAAGTCACTTGCCTGAAATGGGCTGCTGCTGCTGCTGTTTTTTTTTTTTTTTTAAGATTTTAGTTATTTATTTGACAGAGACACACAGCAAGAGAGGGAACACAAGCAGGGAACACAAGTGGGAGAGGGAGAAGCAGACTTCCCGCTGAGGAGGGAGCCTGATGTGGGGCTCAATCCCAGGACCCTGGAATCATGGAATCATGATCTCAGGTGCCCCTGAAACGGGCTTCCTGACTTGGTCAGCTCTGGGATCACAAAGCCAGAACCTGGCTAGGCAGCCAGCTCCATGCCACCCCCACCCTGTGGTCCAGAAGAGCACGGAGCCCACTGAGCTCCAGGGCGGAGTCTGGCTGGCGCAGACACGGTGGGGGTGCCGAGGGGGGTCTGGGTTGCCACCCCCTAACCAGGCTCACTCGCCTCCATCAGATACACGCACAGCTCCTTGAAGGGCTGCAGTAGGCTGGCGTCCCGGATCTTCTTGACAACGAGAACACTCTTTGGGGACTTGTTCCACGTCAGCCGCTGGCTGGCAGGGTCCTGGATGTGCCTGCGAGGGGAGAGGAGTGTCCGCACTGGGAGCGCGTTCCCGTGGGAGGACAGGCACAGCACATCCTCAGAGGCCTTTCTCCCAGGCCTTAGACCGTGTGCGAGTCCCATTGAAAACCTCCAAAACCATGACCCAAACCAGTAACACAGAGGCGTGGTGTCTGATGTCCTCCATCAGCGAGCATCACTCACCCTGGCCAGGCATCTCCGCACGAGGAGGGGCCGCGCACGACGCCCTCCGTGAGTGTCATCGTCTACCCAGGTCACGTGTTGGCTCACAAGTGCGGCCCAGCGGCTTCGGCCATAGCATTTTGGTCCCACTTTGCTAACGACGGAAGTGTAGGGCACACCAGCCCCCCGCAGAACTCTCCTAACTGAGCACCTGCACTATAAACTTAATTTCTGCAAACTCAAAACTGAAAGGAAACAATCCTAAAGTTGACTTTTGAAAGGCACTATGGCAAGAAAACTCCCTAAAATTAAAAACCAAGCACACCTTACTGAATCTTTTTACCGTTTATGTGATCCTCTTGGCCAATCACCTATTTAAAACAAAAAGTCCTGAGATCACCTTTAACAACAAAGAGGCCGGACGCCGGGCGCCGCGCACTTCACTGAACTCGCTGGCTGCGCTGGGCTGTTCAGGACTGGGTGCGGTGACACAGGCCAGCCACACAGGAGTCTGAGCTGGGCTGTGGAACCGGCTTGGCCCAGTGGGAGGAGCTGTCAGGGCTTCGTCAGGCGGAAGGGTGTGCACTCCCCAAACATCGTCCCTGTGCTTGGCCGTGGGCCTCAGAAGCAATGTGGGCAGCTCACGGGCCTTTGCCTGGGTCGAAGCCCCTTTGTGCTGACCCAGGTGTGCAGGGCCTGTGGCCCCTCTGGCCCTGAGACTGTGCCCAGACAAAGCCACCACAGGGTGTCCTGCACAGGCCTGGGTGTCAACTGTGATCAGCCTCCCGCTGGGTCACGACAAGGTGGGGATGTGACCCTTCCCCGGCATACAGGTCGTGGATGCCTGACAGGAGAGGGAGGACGTCTGTGAGCTAACAGGTGACCGACTGGAGCCACTGCCTAGTAAGCCAAAGGCAACGACATGTTGGCAACTCCACACATTTCAACATAAAAAAAAACACACACGCATTCACGGTGAAATTTTAGACAGTAATTAGGAGGTAAAAGTTCTCTGTGATCGCTATCCTATCTTACTTTCGAGCATTAGAGAAGTTAGGTTAGGACACTCAGAGCCTCAGCCAGGTGCAGTGCTGGAAGGGGGCAGGTCCAAGGTGGGGAAAAGGAGCCCTGGCATCCAGAGACAGCAGCAGCCCCAACAGAAGTGTCGGGCACAGGGGCTGGAAAGGGCAGACGAGGCTGTTCCTTCCTCAGCTCCAACCTGTAGCCCCAGAGACCCTTCGGGGCATCTGCCGTTCTGCTTGGAGCACCCGCTGGAAACAGCCCATCTAACCCACCTGAGGCTCACAAGGCCGACCCCCCCCGCCCCCCACAAAGTGACTGTGGCTCAGCTGGGAGTACAGGATGGCTAATCAAGGCTGGACAGTGAGAGGCCACTCGTGGTGGTACTTGGGCCGAGCAGAGTGACAAGGAGAGAATAGGTCTGCCAAGACCAGGAAGTGCTGGGAGGGGCCCCTGCGCAGCTGGTGAAAGGGCAAGGGAGAGCCAGGCTGGGCCAGAGCAAACAGGAAGGCATGGGGCACGGGAGATGGCAGGGCTTGGCACAGCAGCAGGCTGCTGGGGCTCTGGGTTTGGGGGCGCTGGGGTGGGGGGCAGGTTACCAATGTGGCTGCAGTGCAGGGCGGGCTGTAGGGTACTAGAGGGGCCGCGTCTGGACAGGACCTGCCCTGAGCTTTGCAGTAACCAGCAGCCGCAGACAGCACCTGGATCTGACAGAGACACTAAGACTTCATTCCTGAGCCCCGTAAGAAGTGGGACAGCCTTGTCGCTGGGTTTCCTGGTCACGGGACCTAGCAGTTTACACGGCACTCGCCTGGGGAGCCTGGAGGTGGCAGCCACTACACCAGTCACTTGGAACCGGTTCAGCCTGTGACCTGAGGCCAGGGGTCCCCACTGCCAGGCCTGCCTCCTGGGACCCCAGACAAGTCAGTCAAGGAGGCACACCTGAGCCCGCGGCTCTCACCCCTGTGGAAAATGTGGGATCCCCACAGCTTGCCCTGAAGGAGAGGAGCCTGTGAGGGCCGCTCAAAAGGCCTAGATTGTAGGGGCTGGGGAGCTCCCACAGGTGCCAGGCACAAGGCTCAGGGTGGGATGGAATTCTGACCGTTTAACAGAAAGCACCAACGCCAGGTAAGCGACATCGGCGCGTTTTCCTCAGACATGAAGCACAGCCAGACCACCACACAGCGGCCTTTACGGAGCTCCCAGCCTTCTGGAACCATGGGACTCTTTGGACGTGAGAAGCCGGACAGTCACTGAATCCAGAGAAATGACCCTGATTGCTTCATTGTTCTAGTTTCTCATCCAGGCACCGCGGGGCCCCCGGAGACGCCCCGGAGGCCTGGGAGCACCTGTAACAGCCACAAGGAGGCGCTTCTCTCAAAGTGAACGCAGGAGCCCCACAGAGCCGGCCCACGTCTGTCTGAAGAATAATTAAAGGAGGCGGCCCAGGGGGCTCAGCGGGTGAAGCCTCTGCCTTCGGCTCAGGTCATGATCCAGGGACCTGGGATGGAGCCCCGCATCGGGCGCTCTGCTCGGCGGGGAGCCTGCTCGCCCGCTCCTGCTCCCGCCACCTTGTGCTCTCCCTCTCTCTCGAAGAAAAATCGTATCAAATCAAATCAAACCCTATTCCTGTGTGAAATACACTGTTTCCTCCTACACTTTTCATTGTCAAAACGAAACAGTGACTCTGAAGACGGCAGCTGAAGTAGCTGAAGTCGTCTAGCTGCGGTGCCCCGGGAGCAGGACCTGCCCGACCCCCAGCCGCCGGCCGGAAGGCAGAGAGGCCCGCGCTCGCTGGAGCCGGCGGATGCCCCGCGGCTTCCCTGACTAGAGAAGTGCACTTCTCACTCGGAGTCAGAACCTTCCCCAGTGCCGGGACCCCACGACAGCACAGGCCCCCAAGGAACCCCCCGCACTCACATGATGGTCTGGGGGTTCTGCAGCACACAGGCCTTTGGTCCAAACGTGGTCACCGGGCATGGCCCATGCAGAGAGCGAGTCCTCCTGTGGGGAGAGGGGACACAGCCGGTGAGCAGACCTAATGGACTGTTAGACTCTAGAAAGGCTTTTAATCATAATGACTTTACTCCCATCGTTTGCCCAGCATCCAGTGGCAGCCCCAGGAGATCCCGCCTTGGAGCGCCACACGCTGTCTGTGTAGCATCAACAGTGGGAGCGCGCCTCAGAGAAAGGCCCCCAAACCAGGGCGGGTGCCCAGGCCCTACCCCAGGAACAGGGAAGACTCCCTCTGGGGACAGGCCTGGAACTCGGAATCCAAGCAGTCCCTCTGATCAAGTCTGTCTGGTGACCGGTCCTCCAGCCTATACTTGGGAATCAAAACCTGAGAGACCAACCCTTAATGACCTAGATGAAAATTCTAACAAAAGTGCTCATGCTGAGTTGCACGGTCACTAAAAAAGATACTACTCCAACGGCCCAACTTCTCCAATAACTGAAATGTGACTCAGCCATAATCCAATCACCAAACAAAGCGGCTGTGGCCAGCTCACGTTACGGGGACACCACCACCGGGCTGGCCTGCCCCTCCCTGCTCGAGAGGGCTCAACGCCCACCCTGGCACAGGCTGGAGGGAGCGACAGGGACATCCCCGCAGTGACAGGGTAATGGAACGTGTTCAACCCCAATGGCCTCACCATCCCCTTCTGCACCCAAAGATGGCCGAAGGGAGCAGACTTCATCTTCAACTGTCTTGTGGGGTCCACAAAATCTTCGAATTCAACGCAGACAAAACAGACTTTCTAGCTGTCTCGGAAAGGGCACCCGACCTCCGAGAGAGCCCTGGAGTCCGGGGAAAGCTACGGCTCGCAGGCCCCGCGCAGGCCCGGAGTAAAGGCAGCTCATCTCGAGGCGGGCCTCGCCAGCGGGCTCAAGCACCCGCACGACAGGACACACGCCCATCTGCTTCCTCCGCGGGGGCCCCCTCTGACCCGCTGTCGCTGCACCCCACTGCCCAGCCTCAGAACTGGGGGGCTGTGAGCTGAGCCACACAGGACCGACAGGCGGTCGCAGTGCGGCCGGAACGCGGAGCTCTGCACTGTCTGGAAGCTGCAGCAGCACGGCCGCTCCCACGCGCGCTCTAGAGCTTTCCACATGGGGAACGGCCTGCGCCCCCCCCCCCCCCCCCCCCCCCCCCCCCCCCCCCCCCCC